ATTTTGTAGATCGAGTCAGAATAAAATTTGTAACCGAACGGAAAACTTAAATTTTCATTTAAAAAAATTCGGATTTAATAAGTTACACAATTGGAATACGATTTGCACCAAATTTCGGCAAATACCCAATCGCGTGACACTGCCTTTAAACTTGTATTTATACGGATGTTGTTAAGGAATGAACTATAAAAAACTAACCAAAATTAAATAAGATCAAACATAATATTTTAAAACTTGTCAAAATTTGGAGCGGCTATAATTTGTTCGACTACTGTACATAAGTTGACTATGATTACTCGGGCCGTGCTATCATAGTAGCACAATGCCACTAATATTTGACTTACAAACAAAATACGGGCAGGAATTTCAAAATTTCAACCCTGCTTGTGTGAAATATTTTATTTTCATCAGTATTTTTCTTTTAATCAATCTATGTTGAAAATCCTGGCTACGGCCCTGCATGGCCGTACAAGACAAGTGACTAATGCATAACATTCGCTAAGGGGCAGGGCTGTCGTAGTCGCCGCAATCGAAGTGTTTCATTTCGCTAATTTTTAAACACTTCTTCACTGAATGTTTTATATAAAAATCTAAAAAGTGTTAAGTGAACGTGAACTAAGAAGGACGAACCTAAGATAATGACCAAAAATTGTAATCTTTCACACAGATTGTTTTTAGAGCATAATGAACCAATCAAAATTATAAAAAATCGGAATTTCGGCCCACGCTAATCCCTATTCTGAAAATGCGCTAAAAAGACTAAAAACCGACAGTGGATACATCGTATAACGGTCATCATATAATAGACTGGGATTTCTACACCGCAATTTACTTAAGTTATTATTATTTAAGTTTCTTTCATAATTATTACTTTAGACATTTTTAAATCGCCTCATATGTACATATGTACATATGCATGTAGTGGTTAAAAGAAGAGAATATAGAACTGACGAAATATTACATATATAACAACTAGCAGACCCGGCGAACTTCGTCCCGCCCAAAATAAATTTTTTGTTTTGAAACATTTTGGGCCAACATTTCCACCAACAGTTCACGTTCATGATTTTCAGTGGCGCATTTATCTTCTAATATTACGGTTTGGTTTGTCAGAAGGTATATTTCCATTGGCGTCTTAAATGACCTAGCAAAAGTGTGTATGCATACAAAGATATGTAATAGTTTCAGTGCGTTTGAAAGGCGCCCTTTTGCCCCCCGCCCCCCTTTTCACATAGCCCCAATTTTCTCTAAGATTATGGGATTGATTTCATATATCTGCATACCATGTTCGAGTACTCTATCATGAACACTTCCGGAGATATGTATGCAGTATGAAAAATTCAGTTTGTATGGGTGGTGCCACGCCCCATTTTCCAATAACCGCAATTTTTCTTCATGACTATGCGATTGATTTTACATATAAATAGTATGAATATGCACGTAGCGGTATGAAATATACTTTACAGCCGATTGTTATACCCACCATATATACACAAAAAATTTCCTAGAGATCGGTTATGCCGTTTAGGAGGCGTTCGACCATAAACACCGTAACACGAGATTTCTATATATTAGATTAATTTTTAGATTGAGTTTTGAATTAAAATAACCTGACGATTAAACAAATTGTTAAAGTTATTCAGATAGGTTCAAAACCCGCGAGGGCCAAAAAATAAGCTGCTAACTAAAATAAAGTTTAATGGCAAAAACGAGAAAAGTAGCACCAGAGAAAAAGCTGAAGCCAAACACAAAGCGAATAACTTAAGTAAAAGTTTTTAATTCGCACAACTTTTTCCTACATAACTTCAAATAGAGAACATTCAAAAGGAAGTAGAAAATTGCGAGACGAAGAGGAATTCGCAGTGCAGCTAGCAAATGTGAGAGCCGAAGGTAGTCCCAACGTTATATTTTTTGCGCTTCTTTCTTTTGCCCTTGCGGTAGATATGTATGTATGTATACAATTTTCAATTGGCGTAGCGCCGCACACACTTTCAGCATTAACTACTTTTGTTTGCTGTAAGCTGGCTGAGGCGGTTATAAAATGTATTCACTGAACGGAAGAGGAAGTAAAAATAGGGTGCTGATGTTAAAACATTTGACAAAAATACAATCTAATAGATGAAAAAAGAAAAAAAAAAACAAATAACAACAACAAAGTAAAAAAAACGCACATCGAAACGGTAGGGTTATGCACTTAGCCACAAGCTGAGGAATAATAAATATACGGGACAGGTAAGAAATTAACTTTTAACAACCACTACAACATTTCGACCATCGCCATTTATTTAGGTAATCAAAACATAAGCAAATTTACAGATGAGTAACAAAACAAAATAATTCCACTTTTTACTTTTTCGCGTTTTTTATGGGTATTTCCAACCTGGTGTGACGTGACATTTGTATGGAAAAATTAAAAAAATTAAAATTAATAGTCAAAATTTTAAAAATATATTTGCATAGTAACTAAGTATTTAGCCGTTTATTCAGTAACAAAATTCCTTAGCTCACTGTAAAATATCATCAAAATCACGACTAATTAGGACAGTGAAAAACATTGAAATCGACCAGCAAGACTATAGTTTAAAAAGAAAATTCCAAGTTATTTTTAGCAATTCTACTCATGAAAAAAACATTTGTTAGCAAATCATTCGAAGTGCGGTAAGTGACTGCAAACGCCAGGTGTGCCACCAAATAACGAGTATGTTCATACATACTACATATCGCTGTGGGAATGAGGCATCCTTGCTTATTTTAAACGATTTTTTGTATTTTTTTTTTTCAACAGTTTCATTTACATAGGTATGTACATACGAGGAGTTCCATAACAAAAAGTAATAATTTCACTTGAACAGATTCCTAGAGAATTGGGAAAAACTAACCACCGCCAACATCGATAGTATTTCGGTGGTTGAGTAGGATCATAGAAGGTGCCTAAGGTGCCTAAAGGTAACAAAACAAAATAATTCCACTTTTTGATTTTTCGATTTTTTTTATGGGTATTTCCAATCTGGTGTGATGTGACATTTGTATGACAAAATATTAAAAATTAAAATGAGTCAAAATTTTAAAAATATAGTTGCATAGTACCTAAGTATTTAGCCCTTTATTCAGTAACAAATTTACAATAATTGATAGCAAAGATTTAAAGACATAAGCAAACATTAGTTACTTAAATAGATAATAAATATGAAATTTCATCAAAAACCTCAAAAAAGAAACAGTTGAATAAGTGTG